GGCATTTCGGATAACAAACGTAAACATTTAATGATGGCCACTGGCAATTCTGTCTGGTTTTAGTACTATAGATTCCTAGAGCAAAATTCTGCCTCCAAATTATATGCATGCTGCTCTCATTTACTTCAGCAAAGCTTGTGCACATGTTTCGAAGGTCAGAATTTGGCCGTTGGGGCTGAATTTTCAAGGAAGAATGTATTAAAGACATCTGTGCATCAGCAGAACCATATCCTTTGTCTTCTGTAGAACATTTCAGGAGTAAGCCTAGTGCTGTTGGGCACTGCAAGTGAAACATTTTCTATTTTTTGAATTGCATTGGGATTGCTTAGTAGAAACATTTCTTGCAGTAATAGGTTCATGATTCCATTTATTTCTTGTAACTCAACACTTTGATACTGAAAAGCTGTCAGTTTTAAGAGAATAAAGACTGGAAGGGACCGCCCTTCAGAAAATTACAGTTGAAAATACACTGTAACAAGCAAAACAAGGGGAAATAGTCCAAGGAAATAGGTATGGTCTGTTGAGGTGCACAAACTTTTGTTTGTAGTCTAATACAGAGAGGTCAACAAGTGTTTTACACAAAGGTAGAAAACAAACCCACTTTTCATTGTGGACAGAGCTCATATTTGAAATTGTTACTGATCAGACGCTTGAAAAAACTAAAACTTGGCATTCATATTCTATTGGAGTTAGTGTGTATTAAACTGATGAAGATCTTTAAGCATGTAGGTTTTCCCCTGTTTTTTAAACATTATACACTTCTTAAAATGTTTATAATGTCTAATTGCTGCTGGATTTCAAGACATATCAATTTTGTTCTTAGTTCCTGCAGATTTTGACAGAATGTCATACCAAAATATTTTGTATTTTTTGTAGGACTGGGAAACAGAAAATCATGACTGGTATTGTTTTGAATGCCATTTGCCTGGAGAGGTGTTGATATGTGACCTGTGTTTTCGTGTGTATCATTCCAAGTGTTTGTCTGATGAGTTCAGGCTTAGAGACAGCAGTAGTCACTGGCAGTGCCCAGTTTGCAGGGTGAGTACCTATGAGATTTCATGTGCTGATTAGAGGATTGATATTCATTAATAGATTCATTAAGGTGTCCAGATGGTCTGGCCAGGTTAATGGATAAAGAACTGAATATTGAAACAATGGTGCATACCTAGAGCATCTATACAGAGATACCAAAATACGGTGCATGTAGCAGATGGTAATTTTTGAAGACTCCAGCAAGTTTTACTTATGCATTTGAACGCACACAGTATACTGTGTGAGAATGTGTGTACGTATGTATGCCACGTGTGAATGCAGTATATTGTGGAAATCTTCAGCATGAATAAAACAAATTGCTGTATAAGATGCTACTGTTTTTACTTAACATAATTTTAATTAATCATAATGTAATATTTTTGCATTTTGATGACTGCATTCTTAATATTTTATTGGAATCATATTTTACATTACAAAGCCACAATCATGTTACTGATGAGGGCAGTATCAAAAAATATGGAGTGAAATCCTGCTTCTCATCTACTTCTGTGGATTCTATTGGTGCAAAAAGGCCAATCTGGATTTTACCCATAGCCTCCATATCTATATTGCTTTTTCTTTAAAATTGCTATTTTTATGAGTACGGTAGGGAGACAGCAGAGAGTATTTTTTATATACTTTCCAAGAATGAGCAGGTATGTTGTCTACATGTCATTAGAAGACTAAACATTCTAGTCAGGATGGTGCTTACTGGTACGTGGCTTTGAGTCAGCCAGATACGTCTCCTTACTGTTGTCATCTCCACATCACCGCCCCCAATGGAGCACATTCCTAGGCTTCCTTAAATGGAGGGAATAATGCGTATGAATGTTTAAGATAAAATTATTGCTATAGAAAGGCATAAAACTGCCAGTTGCAGTCTAGATTGCTGGAGGGAGAGGAAATTCCCTTGCTAAAAGCTTAGATCTAGCTGTAGAGCAGCAGACTGACCTTCAGATGATCTGTGCTGCAAGGAATGTAAGGGTTCAGGCGCTTCATAGTATGGAGAAGCAGGTTTTGAAAACATGTGGATTGTTTTGTTTCAAAACAGCACTTTCTGACTGCTGTTGCCTTAGAACCAGTTGTAAAAAACCTGTTGCCTCAGACTGGAAGCTCTCAGTGTTTAGGGAAATAGCAAGAAAATCGAGCCTGCCTCAAGGAAGTGGAAAGGAATGAAAAAGAAGTAGTGGCAGGGAAAAAACAGTTAAGAATAAGGACATGTACTGTATCTCTCCATACTAGCATTTAATTTAGCTACTCAATATTGCCTCTGTTAAAAACAAAGAATGACCATATATAGGTGAATTGCTTTCACATTTTTAAATAAATCTCTTTAATAATTGCTGGTTCTCGTAATAAGTATTGATAGTTCATAGAATCATAGAATCATAGAATCGTCTAGGTTGGAAAAGACCTTTAAGATCATCCAGTCCAACCATTAACCTACACTACCAAGCCCACCTAAACCAATCAAGGGTAGACTAGACTAAGACTAGTTCTTATAAATAGTTAAAATTAGGTAAACTGGATCCATTGTCCACTCTAGTTTACCAATAATTTTAGATGACACCTGGTGAGAGTAGGGAATGTAAATGGTTTAAGCCACCTTGTATATGAGGTGGCTTATAACATTTATCTTGTAACATGGATGTCATAAGAGTGGAATGCTGAATCACTGCATGAAATATGCACAGAGATGTAGGGTGGTCAGCTTTGAGATCAGTCTCACTTTCATTCTGGTGCCTTGAAATCCTTTATGGCAATAATACTAAACAAATATTTACCTTGAAAAAAATCCTGTGAAACTGAGACCATGTGCACTGTGTCTGTCTTTCTGCATATTGGTTCCCTTTTTGTAATAAAGGGACTGAGGAGAAGTTTTGGGGCTCTTAAATACTTCCTGCCCCAGAGATCTTTGGCTTGCTCAGTGCCTCAGATAACAATCAACCTATTTTTATGAATATTGCCATTTTGAACGCCATGGTATCCTTTTTCTGTCTGTGCTGGCAGCTCCTATGTTCCTTGTAATTAATTCAAATCACTTCAGGCCCTAATTTTGCAAACTTGGACTAACGAGGCTTGCACCGTCCCTGGAAGCAAGGGAGAAATCTAGTTTGGCATGGGAGTTAGCGTCCTTGTGTCAGGCTTCAGTATTCTTCTGCTACTTCCTCCCCACTTTCCTAGGAAATGACTGCTCTAATTTTATTTTAAAAGCAGGAGAGAGGCCTATATTCAAAAAACTATGGTAATTTGGAGAGCCCTGGCTGATGTCCAGAGGACATAACAGAGCTTAACTATCTTGCATAAGGGCAATGGGATTTACTTTGCATTATCAGCGGTAAATATGTACGTTCAAGAAAAATAATAGCTGGGACAGAGAGATGCATATATTTTCATACTTCATTCTTGTAACTGGACATAGCACTTTTCACCTGGGGATTTCAAAGCTCTTTACAAAGGTGAAGTAAAAGTATGTTTGAAACCTAATATATTGGGAGAAATAACTTAAGAACACTTCATTCTTATGTAAAGACGGCTTCTGTAATGCTGCCAAGGTCAGCAAGCCTTTGGATTATTCATTTCACAATTGCTGGGTGTACTAGTTCAATCAGCTTGTGCAGCTTTATCTTGCACACTTGACTACTCAGAAACATTTTATAAAGGACATTGCCAAGGATTTGTTCATAACTTTAAAATATTCTTCCTCCTATAACATTTATAACAGTCCCTTGCAAACCTTGCTGTGAACTCTGTTTCCTTGCTGGTGGTTTTTCCCCACTGCATCCATAAGCAAGAATGTCCAGTTCCTGGCTTTTTTTTTTAACTTGACAGTACCAATCTGACTGTTTCGTACCCTGCATAATTCTCCGCAGGAGTCAAGAGTCAAACAAAGTTCAATTCAAACCACATTGCAGTGACTGAAAATTTTCCCTGACTGCTGACTAATCATTGTCTTAAGTGAAATAAATTGGTATTATCAGCAAAATTCCTGGTAGACAGGTCACAAAAGAAAGACTCAATATCAAATGAACTTAGAGATTACATTAGCCTTTTCCTGCTACTGGAATGCTCCATTCAAGACAGGGTTAGTCAACTCGATCTCTGAAGGATGCAGGAGACTTGTACATTTATTGCTGCTCTTTGGTTAGACAAAAGGAGGAAATTCATTTTCTCCAGCTGTTAATTTAGCACCTAAAGACTACAGAAAGTACTGCAAAAATGCTAGGTTTTATGGGGGGGGAAATAGATGTATACAAAAATCTGAATAGGAGAATATCGATCACATGTTGGGGTAACTGACTATTGTTATTTCTTTTTTTAAAAATCCAAACTTTAAAGGAATTTTAGAGCAAGGCAAAATTATGCCTGGTGAGATATAGTTTGTCCCAGAGGAATAGATTTTGATTTGTGAAACAAAAAGAAAGAATTACTCATGGCTTAACTTGACTACTAAACTTTTTACAATCATCTGATCAGAGATTGATCTTCCATGCATATGCTTTACAAGGAATTATAACCAATTTACCTATCATAATGGGTGTTTCAGTATTTCTGTTTTTTATATATATGACAGTAAAGTAAACTGTGGAGCTTAAGATATTAAATGCTGTGCTGATAAGTGTTCTGTAAGTAGGCTATTTCTGAGTTCTGGTACTGTACTAAGCATTTCATAGAGTACATAAAAATAGACCATTGTGCAGTTCACAATCAACGTTAGACATAATTTGAGGAGTGAGAATGACAAACAGTAGAAAGTTAGAAGCACAGAAAAATGAAGGTTACTTAAGTGAAGTAACTCAAGTACTTAGATCGGGGCGGTTAGGTACCAGCTGTCAGTCAAGATGGTTAATGTAAAATACAAGGCAGGAAGAAAGAATAGGGCTCTGTTGACTTACTTTATGGGGTGTTATGGTAGGAGTTCGTTAGATAACTGTATGATGAAAGATATTCTATAAACAGGATTTGGCATAATCACACAAATAATAGCCATGGATTGGTAGGTGGAGGGAAGTCCTAGTACAGGACCGATACTGGCCCCGCATGGCTCAGTGCGCAGAGCCCACACCTGGGGAGGTGTTAGTGCTTGGCAGGTCCCTCCCATTCACCTTGCAGCCGCATGCACCCTTGTGTAAATCAGGGAGCCAGCACAACTGGGCACTGCATAGGGCATATTTAATAAAGTATAAAGGAACTTGTCCACAGCAGTGAGGAAACTGGGAAACCTCTGCTTAGAGCCTCCTACCACCTTCTCTGTGCATGTAAAAGCATATTTAATTCATGTGATTCTTCATATTCAGAAGGTGGTCAATGCACCATACAAGTGCAAACCAATTTGTGGATTCAGCTGTAACATTTCCAAAAGCACCTAATGCTTTGAAAAGTCTAGTTTAACTGTATATGGTCTTGAAAGAGGCACGGTCTTACGCCATATTCTGCTCATGCAGATGCTTTTCTGTATGCTGCTTAGGGCATACGGTGCACTGGTTGCTCTGAGACCCATCCCGTGTGCCTGCATACCTTTCTTAATGGTACAGGAAACCTGAGGAACTGAGGGTTGGGAGTTTGAGAGGGCAACAGAGCAGTAAAGCTTTCCATATGTAGCACCAAATTCTTCTGGAAAGTCAAGCCCTAAAAAACTCCAAGGGCCAGTGGGTATCTAAACAGCAGTGGTGAATGTATTTTAGACTCATGCACATAGTTCCCCTCTGCAGATATACCCCTGGAAACCTGAATTGCTTCTGAAAATGGAACTGGTGCCTTAGAAACATGTATCTGTCATTGAGCAGCCTTCACCTAATCCATCACTGAACTGAAACGAAGCTCTTTGATGTATGTATACACGACAGTTGAGGGAAGAAGGGAAAAAAATATTCGTTAATGGGAAATTATAGGGAAAGCTCTTTAGATGGAGAAAATGTAATTTAAATGCTTATAGCTAGACAGGATGCTGGCACTAACACCTTGCATTTCTTAGAGTTTCTCTATGTTTTTTCTCTTCAAATGAAAGATTGCAGCAACTGCAGTGTAGTTACCATTGTCACCTTGGGAGTTGAGAGCTACATGCTAACTCAGGGTGCAAAGGATAGTCATTTCCATCATAAACGGTGCTACTGCAGGATGGAGTGTGTCTTGGCAGTACTCCTCGCTGCTGCTAACCTCGTGTGGTTCAGAAAGTTTTATAGTGAATTCCTGCACTAGAAGCATGTCAGAATTGCTAAATAAGGCACACCTGCACAGTGCAATATATTGCTACCCTCTTTAACAGCTAAGCAGTATTATTAATCTGGAATATTGAACACAAAAAGCAATGTAAATCCAACCTTCAGGTATCAGCTTCTAAGAAAGAGATGTGCCACAGAGAATAAGGGATATATAAGGTATTTCCTGCACCCACAAGCAAAGAGCTAGGTTGCAGCCTTGGCCTTCCACCTACAAGATTCCATTAATCTTCTACGTGAGGATTGCTATTGTGAAGGTTATTACTTCATTCCTATATTCCCTTTGTAAACATGTATGCCTGACCAAGCCTTTCAGTTTACTGTGATTCAAAGCAGAAAGGTTGTAGATTTCTCTCAAAATTGGTGTGACTTAGGAATCATCCTTGTTGGGGGTTAACTCTAGTAGGCAGCTAAGCACCACACAGCCGCTCTCTCACTTCTCCCCAACTCCCAGTGGGACACAGGAAGAGAAGAGGATGAGTAAGAAAGAAAACTTTTGGGTCGAGATAAAAATTATTTAAGTGAAGAAATGGAAGAAGAGAGAAAGAAAACAAAACAAAGCAAGTGATGCAAAGGCAATCACCCACCACCCTCCGTGGGTAGACTAACGCCCAGCCAGTTCCCAAGCAAAAGATGGCTAACTCCCTTAAACCCCCTCCTCTCCCTTTCTCTTGCTGAGCATGATGTTGTATGGCATGGAATATCTCTTTGGTTAGTTCAGGTCATCTGCCTGGTTGTGTCTCCTCCCAACCTCTTGCGTACCCCCCAATCCATTCACTGTGGGGGCCGAATGGGAAACAGTGAAGGCCTTGACACTGTGCAAACGCTGTTCAGCAAGAGCTAAAACATCAGTGTGTTATCAACACTGATTTGGTCACAAATCTAAACCACACCACCATATGAGCTGCTGTGAAGACAATTAACTCCATCCCAGCCAGACCTGGTACAATCCTATACTAAGATATCCTGCAAGTAGGATATCTACAAGTATAAAGATCCTGATAATCTTTTGGGGGCTGGATTGAATCTTAGCAGCTTCCTTGAAAGAAACTTGTTTAAGTAACGAGGTTTGCAGTAGCATATCTTAGTAGATCTGACTGTGGGAAAAGATACACAGTGGATCTTGCTGCTTTTACAGATTCACAACCCACCATCATTGTTTTTGTTTCACAAAAGTAGGAAATTAAAGGACCTAATTTTCATTTATGCTTGCTTCTATATCACTCTGGCTATAAAGGGACCTGAAAGTAGGTATATTTTCTTGTGTCAGAGCAATATAAATAGATTTTATACAAATCATGTCCGCCATCTAGTATTACCTATTTTCTTGCTTTAAGTGGCTCTAGGTTGACTTCTCTGAGAACACTACAAGTCTTCAAAATACAAAGTAGGAGGTTTTTTATTAAAAAATTACACATTTTCCATTATAGCTTCGAAAGAATCTGTGAGTGGTACCTCCTAAAGGGCTAATATTTGTTGAAAAGTGAATGAGGCGGTTGGATTAGAACTTGCTTTCTACAAAGGGTGAGCAACCTTGCCATAAAAAGACGTTTTGCTGGCTCATAGGCTCCAATTCCCTAAATTCATTACCTTTCAACATTTAGTAGAGGAACCTGAAGATCAAATTTTTCTTAAAATAAATCATTGTAGGGAATTGAAGGAAAAGTGGAGAAATTCAAGTTTGCCTGAATTGGCAAGTTAATTATATAATTTTCATTGGTGCTTAAGATGATATTAATTGCTGACATCAATAATGCTACAAAGCCAGCTATCTATCTTTTCTTATGATCTGAAGGATAAGACTGTAAACCATCTATCTTAACACAGTCTCTTACAAACTGTCTTGCCCAGCGAAGCATGAAAAACGGTTCGCATGAATTCTGAAATACTTTCAAAGGATGATAAATTCAGAACCATGCCAGAAAAAGGAGGTGTAGAAGGGCTAGTCAGTGCAAGTGAATTTTATTGTGTCCTATTAAGTTTCAGTCTTTTAAAATGCTATGTCATTAGGAAGCATACAGCACTCCAGTGCCTAAAATGACAAAACGACAGCAGCGTTTCATAATGCAGATAATTTAATGCACATTTGGATTTGCATTTGCAGTAGCAATGTTGGTTTATGCAAAACTGAACAGGTGAATTGAATGCCAGCAGAATGCACGTTCTCACGGCAGACAAAGTAAAACATGAATATACAGAAGGTGATTCAGACATACAGTGCAGGTTAAAATTCTGTCTCATTCCAGAATTTGGAAGGAAGGTCAGGGAACCATTAATACTATGAAAATAATGCTTATATGCACTGTAAGTGTTAGAAAGACCTGGTGCTGGCCCTTTCCACAATAGTGAGTTTTACCCAACAGTGGTAGTGTCCTGTCAGGAAAAAGCTATAGTGTTGTTATGCATACTGAAGTATCTATATGGGTTCATGACTGAACTGATATTTCAGCACAGTTTGTAATGATTCTATGCATACTGTTAAGCAATCAAATAAGCAGCTTCATTGGTTGTACTGTGTACAATTTTGATTTAAGGAGGCAGTAAGTGCAATCCTGAGATGTATAGGTTGCACACTTACTGTAGCACAAGGGCCAGCCTGTGATTTTCAGTGTCTTCAGTGTCTTGCAGGAGGAACATAAGCAGAGGAGACACAATCAAATCCCATTCATTTTTTTTTTGCACTAATGTGTAATTTTTACTCTTGCCAAGTAAATATGTAAAAGTGGTTGCTCTGTACTCAATGTGTCTGCTCCCTCTATACGTTCAGAGTCATATATAAGTAATTCAGTTAAAAATAGCACACTTCTAGTGATTAATAGTTCATAAGCTTCATACCTCTTTTAGATACCTATTAGGACATGGATTCTGTTTTTTCTTCTGTTTGCTAAGCAAGTCACCTGCACAGTTATGTGGATCTTGCTAAACACCACCAAAATTTGAGGGTGCGGGTGTAACTGAGCCAGTTTGGTCCACACAGTTTGCATGCAGGTGGTGATGTGAGGCGTGAGAAGGGGAGAACTCAGCTTGGCACTCAGTGCATTCGGAGGTGTGAGGAGTAAACGTTTTTGCAAGAGATGTGAGCAGTTAGAAGTCACTTCAGGATAATAAACCTGAAACCCATGCTGTTGTTTCACTGCGCTTTTGTTTTGGAGAACTACTGTAGGCAAGAGGAAGGAGGAGACAGCACTTTTCAGCCTGCTGTTGTAAGGCCATGCAGAACTGTGCACGGCTGCTGTGACCTCTTTAGCAGCGTGTTTTCTGTATGCAGTGCTTCCCACTAGCTTGGACTGACTTTGAAGGGGGGGGATAAGTCTCTATATTAGTCTAAGATGAGGGGGAAAAACTCTGGATCCTGAACTGCTAAAAAGAAGCAGTCTGTGTTCCAGAATCTGGATTAGATTTTGTGAAGGAAGAACCACAAAAATCAACAAGTGCTATGTTTCTCGAGCAGTAAAAAGTGCTCTGAGTTTTTACTGGCTAGAGCCTGTTTGACTTCCTCCTAGATGGTGTCATTTTGCCTAGTAAGCACATAATTTGTAGATGGTACAGGATATTCTTTTAAAAATAATTTATTTTACCAAAAATATTAATGCCTTGCTAATAAAAAGACCATTAAATAAAGTTTAAACTGCTCCCTAAAATGCCTTTCTTCATTGCTTTATTCTAATTAGACACTTTTTTACATGAGAGGTTTTGACAAAGTATTATGGATACAAGTAGAAATAAAACCTGTAATGGTTCTGTAGCTGAAGTCCTCAGCCCAGACATAATTCAAAGCAACATACATAGTTGTTGTGACGTGTTAGTGTTGCTAATTTCCCAGAAAAGATTTCCTCTAAAAAATTGTGTGATCTGTGATTCAAAGTTACCTTTTCAAATAATGCTGTGATGCAGAGAAATTTTTTATTGGATGAATGTTGAAGTCAAGTTTAAAATAATAATATGATCCTGTTTTTCTTTGGCAGAGTATCAAGAAGAAAAACACAAGTAAACAAGAGATGAGCACATACCTGCGATTCATAGTCTCTCGTATGAAGGAGCGGGTGAGTCTGAAACAGGGAAGTTTACTGAAGTGTTGGGTTGCACTGTAGAGAGGATGCATTGCAGTTGGCCATGTGTGACTGTGCAGGGAGGAGGGCTACAAGAGGGTGTCATTTTATTTCCCCTGTCATAAGCTGTGTGTTTATTTCAACCATGTCTCATTGCTTGGATTAGTATCATTCTGGCAGGAGTAGTTTATGCCATGGGCTTGTGGCTCCTCTGCAATGGACATTTTTCAGGTTTGAGATACATGTAATCTGTCAGATTGTGGATCTGCAGTTTGGCCTTATGTATTCCCCACCTGAAGTATTCCAAACTATTGCATTTCTTAATCTTTTTTTGTGTGTTTTAAGCAGATTCTAAATGCAGTAACTTACACTGTCTCATGGTCCTTTCAGGCTATAGATCTAAACAAGAAAGGGAAGGACAACAAACACCCAATGTATAGAAGGCTGGTGCACTCAGCTGTTGATGTTCCTACTATACAGGAGGTAGAGTGACTTGCTTTCTAACTTCCACACTGTTTATGGTGTCTTTTAACAGTGAAGATAAACCTTAAGGACTAAAGCACTAATCCTGTTTTTAATTCTCCTTATGATCAGTATTTCAGTATTGTATCCAGCATTGGATAAGGGAGCTTAAAATTGCAAACTTTTGCTCATAAATAGGTAACCAAGTAAAACCATTTTGAGTGGTGCCTAGTTTTCAGACATGGAGTATTCTCAATTCCTTTTGTACTAAGGTTTTCCTAGGAGCTGAAATCTTTCGAGAAAGTACCCTTTATCTAAGTCACTGAATATGGACTTGAGTGCCCATGTTTGCATATCTGGCCCAGTGTTTTGACCGTATTACAGTTTTAGTCATTAAGGCCTTGTGTAGGTGGCGACTTTATAAACATCTAAATGATTCATAAAGAACCAATCATTTTGTTGATCACAAAAAACCAAGACTCACTTAAAACATCTGTTCCCCATTAATTGTTCCAAAAATAAAGTACTAGTAAATACGTTGTCCTTTTTTTCTGAACCAAAGGTCTGACCATAACTCATGTAAATCAACTGCACATGACCTAAATGAACAGCATATTCATCTTTATTCATTGCTGCAACTGCATTACTATGCAGTGCTGTAGTATATATTGCCCTTTACAGCCATAGATGTGAAAAGCCTTTGTTTTATTTTTGTTTTTTTGTTATTGAAACACATGGATAAACAATAGCTTCAGTGGCACTTTTGGAGACCAACACTGCTGGCTGGCTTGAAGTACTGGCAACACTGGTTGAGCCTGAAAATAGCTCAGGCCTTCCTTTCCCTGTGTCACCTTTGCCTGCTTCCACAGAAGGTCTTTTGGCCTTGATAATGTATGAGAAACTGATGTTTTGTTTGATGATTGGAATTCTCATAGGTGTTCTTGACAGAGCACAACTGAAAATGCTGCATTCCTTATCAGGCAAAAGACCATACTAGGAAAATGAACTGCATGGCTCCATGTAGGCATTTGTTACGAGTTTGGAAGACTAAGACAATCAGCCTTCATCAGAAAACACTGACTGTCAAGTGAAGACACTGGAATTATAAAGGCAGTCAACATTGATTTGAAACTAGCTGGTGTTTTAAGGTACAAAATCTTCACCTCAGCGAATATATTTTAATTTGAACAACTGTTCTGGGCCACACCTTATGATGAAGCTACTCCAGATTTACCTTGTTATAACCAAGAGAATTTTTTTTTAAACTTAGTCAAGTATTAAAGCACCTGTTTTACTTCTGGGCATTGCATAAAGGGACCAATGCAGCCAGTGTTCTGGTAATAACAAACCATGTCAAAAAGCTGTAAGTATTCCTTCTATATGCAGGAAAGGCAGTGTCTGATCTGTGTTGCATAATGCAAATTTCTGTGAAAGCTCCTCTGCATAAAACAGGTACAGTACTGCAACAGTTTTTTCACAGTCCTATGTTTTCTTTTGTGTAGAAAGTAAATGAAGGAAAATACAGGAGTTATGAGGAGTTCAAAGCAGATGCTCAGCTGCTTCTACACAACACAGTCATTTTCTACGGAGGTAAAATACTACATTTACTGCTTGCTTTATTTGATTTATCTTTATCAGTAGGAAGCTCACAAGTTCAGGACTGAATTTGGTATTAGATAATCTTAAATGTGGGTGAGGTCGTTTGAGAGCCCTTAAAAATCGAAGTAAGCTGCAAGAGGGCTGTGCAGGGTCTTTTCTGGCCCACCTACTACACAGCTGCTTTCATCCTTTCTGGCTAAACCTGTTAGTAGGAATTTGCGCCTTTGCCATCCTGTTTCCTCTGCAGCCTAAGTTGTAAGTCAGTCTTTACTGCAGACTTGTGCCAGTATGTATATGTTGTTCTGGGGTGGAAAGAGGTCTGAACTCTCATGTGCTGTGTCAGCAGAAACATGTACTATAGACACATAGTTTTCACTTGTGGGCAATATCTGCCATATTGCGACAGCAAATATAGCTACATCCACACTAGAAGTGTTCTGCTGCTGCAGTGTGTGGAGGTACAGCCATCAGAGAAACTGCCAGCCACTGGGAGGGTAATAAGTGACTGTTGATATGGTGGCACAGTCTGACTGGAGGTGGAAAAACACCACCACCGCGTCCTGAAGCTATAGCCAGGTCTTGTAACAAGGTTCTCCAGAGCCATCGTTTCAGGAAGGATGTGGTTCTTCCCTGCAGACATGGCCCACATCAGGGACACTGGGAGGTGGGACCAGTCTGTTTGCAGCATCACAAGATCCACACTGTTGTTGGTGGGGAGAGATGTGAATGTGCTAATAGAGAAATACACAGGTGTAAAGGGAAACACATAGTGGTAAATAGTCTGTGAAGCATTACTCTGAGCAGAAATACTTATGTGATTGTACCTGTGTTCCTGTCAAGTGGCAATAGCAGAGCGCCATATTTTAGGGCAATTGCAGAGTGTCATTAAGATGCTAGCAGAGAAAGAAACTGGATCCATATTAAGAGCAACCCTGTCTCCTTGCTGCTACTCCTCAGATATGTACTTGTATTGTTCAGTTTAAAAGCTCCCAACAGTATGTTTGCATAGAAATATGAATGAGAAAACAAATATAGAACTGATTGTTAGAAAATTTTAAATGGAAGGGTTATCCAAGTGACTAAATTATGTTTTGTATTCTCAAGCAAGACAATTATAGCATTGAAGTCATAGCAATGACAGCTGCAAATCTTTGTGAGCACTGTGATTATACTGTGATTGTTCATACCATTTATTTTTAATTTATAGCGGACAGTGAACAAGCTGATATAGCGAGGATGCTTTACAAAGACACGTGTCATGAAGTAAGTAATACCAAGTAACCAAGGTGTAGACAAGATACTTGATTATCATTTCAGAATCTAAGAAAATTATGCTTCATATTACAAAAATAAAAAGGATGTCAGGTTTGTTATAAATTTCCCACTAACTTTCTAACAGCTGATTCAGAATTTATTTTTCTTTTTTTTTCCAACTAGATTATCATTTGGAAAATACCGATATTCAAATTTCAGTTTTGAAAATAATCTAGTAATACATAGTTGGACTAGAAATAATTGTACTTGCTCATATAAGTTGAACCTGAGGTGAGATTCCTACCGAATTCTGTAATTGGCATTGAAATAGTGTTCAACATTCAGAGGAGACCAAAAAATAAAGCTAGGGGAGCTGTCACACTTTCTCCATTTGTATAGTTGAGTTACTTCTTTCACAATGTACTTTAAATATTTGATAAATTTAAAGAACTATTGTTTGCATTTTAGCTATAATAAATCATTAAGAGCTGAATTAGTCTTTTCCCTCCGCCTTGTTTTTCTAAAACGCGAATAACGTCGTCTTTCGTCCACTCTCAGCTCACCTCAGTTTCACACCTCTAGTTTGCACAGACAGAAGTAACTCCACCAAATTAGCAAGCAGGGCTGAAAAATGTTACTACTTAAGAGAGAGGGGTACTACTGAAGTCACATAAATAGGATTTTTTGGGCTTATTTACCTTTTTTTTGTTTTTCAGCTGGATGAACTGCAGCTTTGCAAGAATTGTTTCTATTTGTCAAACGCGCGACCTGACAATTGGTTCTGCTATCCTTGTGTATGTTGCTGACACAGATTTTTATTTGTTTGCTTTTCTGTACAAAAGCCTGCAGTTTTGGTGTCATTAATGCATTGAATATTCCATTTCAGTAGGCTTGTTTCAAAAGCATGGTTAAGACTCTGTAAGCCTAGATACTTTACACAAGTGAGATGTTGATTGAAGTTCAAAGCTGTAACAATATAGGTTATAAAACTTGGTTATCAGCCAGTTACAACAGTGTCACAAGAAAATAAGGAGCTTACAGAAATAAAACTTTGCTCCTGGATGAAGCTGTAGAGACAAGTTTAATTTTTGGGCTGCTTAAGATCTCTGTTTTCAATAGCCAGTTACACCCTTTTCAGACTTCGTATATTTTTTACTTTGATCCAAGCAATACATCTAACAGGGAAAAATGTATTGTAAGAAGATAAAAATGAAAATAGCACTAGACATAAACAGCAACCATATTCTTAAGATACTAGCATAATATTACAGCAAAATATTTGTGGGAGATATCAATATGATACTTCGTATCCAATAATAAATACAACATTCTTTCCAGATACCTAATCATGAGTTGGTCTGGGCCAAAATGAAAGGCTTTGGGTTTTGGCCAGCCAAAGTCATGCAGAAAGAGGACAATCAAGTTGATGTTCGCTTTTTTGGCCATCACCACCAAAGGTAATTTATTAATTCCATGTGCTGCTTTTTACAAACAATACTTAAAAGAATTTATCTCATCTATCATGTTGTAAATCTTGGCTCAGCTAGTTGCCAACATTAGAAAGACTGAGTACTTTGCCTTAATTGTTTCAGAAAATTTAAAGCTCAGTCTAACACATCAGAAGTTGCCAAATGGCTCAGATTCCCTTTCCACAGTTGCCATAGGGATGTTACTTAATGCCATTTTAATTAAAGAGAGCAAGTGAACTTCAACTGTTTCTTCAAATCAGTAGCAGCCTGCTAATCCAGGCCAAGGTGAAAATTGGACAGAAATGTACTATTACTACCAGCAGCATTGACTTTGTGCAATTTTCTCTTCTGAGCAGGTACATTGCAATTTTGTGTTTTAGTAACATAATATACATCACAAATGTTTCTGTCTCACTGCTAGAACATTGACAGAGCTCCTGCTGTGAGCCAGTTTGCAATTTCAGAGAATAACTCTTTGCATTGGAAACTTCACTCTTACAGAGCAGCTTTTACTTCTGTCTCCAGGTTTTTTTTCAGCATTTGGGGAGGGTTATAGTAGCGTTACTACAGTGGATGCGCTGGGTTTTTTTGCTGTATGATTTATATGCCTATAATGGGAGGAGAGGAGACATTTGCAAAGTAGTTTATCGTTGTTGGGAAGGTGGTATATTTTAGTGCATCCCGAAAGGGCCTAGACAATTCAGTAACAGTGTTTTATGAGGCTGTTTATTTAAATTGCTTTTAGTGTAACTTGCACAGTATATAACATGTTTTCATTTGTTATATGAACTACCAAGATTTTCTAATCGGCGTAAAGTGGGTAAACGATCTTTATTTGTGTTTCAATCACAGAATGATTTACCTTGAATCTGTTTGAAAATACAGCTTTACCTCATTAGTAGTTTTGGCATTAAGTTCACACAGCTTCAAACTATTTAATAAAGTAACATGACACTTGTGGGATGAGGTGCTTCCAACTTCTTAAACATGTGCTGATAGAAAAGGCAAAATACATTTTACTAGAGTGCCATTGCTTAGTTACTGTGCTGGACTTGGACGAAAAGCAAATTCCTGGTTGGTGTAAATTAGCATTGTTTCTTTGACTGCACTGAAATGAAATTTATATTGCAAGAACTGAGAATCTGTGCACAGGGGTTTAATTTGTTACAGTATTTACTCTGTTATGTATACGTGCATGGCAGTGACTCTTTTTCTTTAATGTCCAGTGTTATAACCTTTCAAAATGTCAAGAGCTGCCCATCTAACTCTTTAAGGACTCTGAAAATATTTAAGAGGACAAAGTACCTTTGGAACAAAGTCACTGGCATGAATTCAGTCCAGAAGAGCATGACAGTCCCCACATGAGTTCAGCCCTGATAGACAGGCCCAAACTAAAAAATATCTCTATTTGAGGTGATAATTTGGTACATTCCTTGACAGTTTTAGCAAAGAGGTCAAGGGCTAAGCTGGATTACCATGCAAACCTTCAGTAAAGACGTTTCTGTGTCTGACTCAGGGCATTTAGCAAGAAAGCAGGTAGGAGATGTGACTGCTGTTGGTGCTGGGGGAGGTTTGTGGCTCACCAAAAATGAAAGAGACTTTCAGCATAGTACCTGCAGCTAACACGTGCTTAAAATAACACAAATGTCTAACGGTATGCAGTCTGTTTTTTTCCAAATGTGTTGAATATATGCTGAATAAAAAGGAATTGTCAGTGATCAGCAACTGTGAAAAACTGCTTTTGAAGTCAGTTGCTCAGGTCAAGATCCTTCATCTGTATTTAATGTTTCTGAACCTGTCTGTACTGTGTATTCAAAAGGGCCTGGATCCCCTCTGAAAACATTCAAGATATCACAGTTAACATCCATCGGCTGCACGTGAAACGCAGTATGGGGTGGAAGAAGGCCTGTGATGAGCTGGAACTGCACCAGCGTTTTCTTCGTGAGGGAAGATTCTGGAAATCAAAGAATGAGGATAAAGGGGAAGAGGAGGCAGAGTCAAGTATCTCTTCCACCAGCAATGAGCAGGTGAGTTGCCACAATGTTAGCAATCAGGGCAATTTATTAAAGTGTACAAAGATGACATATTTTTGATTAATCTACTATTAAATTAGCTTTGTGCTCTGTTTGCAGTTCTGCAGTGACAAGAGGGTTCACAGGCTTATTTGCCCTATGTTTTGTGGCTCAGTAATAGCAAGAATATAGAGTTTTCCTCTTTCCTCAGTTTCTTGGATGACCTCTGGGAAGTTTTAAAATGTTTGTCACCTACAGCACCTTGATGAGGCAGACCAAGATTTCTAAAGTTAAATAGGAATGTTCAAGTTAAATGTCATGGATATCAGATAGACTGCAACATTGCCTTCTTGGACAACCATCAAGGGACAGCCCTGTAGCTGTTCAGCCTTTTCACAGCTGGAGTATGTTCACTTTGGACTGTATTCTGCGTTACAGATCCCTGAGTAACACCAACCATGACATTTTCAGCAAGTCCAACTAAAGTTAGGTGCAAACGTTGCACTTGAGGACCATGTGACCAGCAACTGATTACAGTCATTAAAAATAATTCTGCAAAACAACAAAAACTGTATTGCTTTAACAAAGGTGAAAAGCACAAAGGGCCAATATACAAAACTTTGCATTGCAATATGGAAATTCCCTTATCACAGCTCAACCTTGCTAGTCATTCATTGTCCACGAGGGTGTTATATATTCACTGTTACTGACTTGGCAGTAAGATTTTCATAGCTTGCAGGATATTTCTCTGTAGTTTTGGCAGCCTTTTCCCTGGCAACATCTTTTTTTCCTCATTTAAAACCACTGTCCTCTCTTTAAGTCTGTATTTTAAAAAATCAGCGTGTTTTGACCCTCTTCCTTTGCCCTTTTGTCAAACAGGTCTATCATCCAATTTGTAGCTAAAAAATTAAAGCTTATAAAACTGGATGTTGCTTCAAGGGGATGCTCCTTACCAAAGTTGGTTTAGGGTTTTTTAGCCTGGTTTGCTTAGCTAACCCTTTGTAGCCCCTTTATTTAATGCCATGTATGCAGTCATGAAACAATGTATGATGAAACAGGAAAACAGTCACAAATAATATTTATGAAAGGTAACAGAGGTATTTTCCCAGTTTTTCAGAAATGTCAGTCATAAGGTTTAAAGTGTCCGTTTGCATATTTTCTGTTCCACCCCAGCTGTTCCTCTTTCACGTGCTTAATGCTTATACCTGTTCACTGGTTTCCCAGATGCAGGAATATAAGAGTAGCCATCAAATTCAGTGCTCTGCAGTAATCTGCAGTATCCTGTCGCTAACACTAGCCAGTACTGGATGCTTCAAAGATGGGAGGAAGAACTTTGCTGTAAGCCATTGTAAGACAATATACCATCCACTTAGATCTCACCCTTGTTTCTGTTGCTAGAGATTGGCTTTTATTCCAAAGCATGAAGTTTCATACCCCTGCAAGCATACAGCTATAATCAATTATAGCAAGTCTGGATAATCTTAATATCTTTACATATATACATTCTCTGTATAATTGTTGCTGTTTTCTGGCTTCCAACAAGATCTGCTGCCTAGTTATGTGTCACTGACATCAGAATATTCCAGAAAACAAGTGTCTGAACTTCTGTGTAAAACAAAGAAAAGAATGGTTAAGGGTATTTTAGCAAATACATATTGAATGTTAGAACTTGTTCATGAATTTTGTTCCTTCGTGCAGTCACAGTCATCAGTGGATAATGTGGAAAGTTTATTGTGTGCACTTCTCATTTAAGAACAGTATTCAACGTTCTATTTGCTGAATTAAATAATTGCAAATAATCGAAAATAAAAGGTACATCAGTCATGTTACAATGAATGCTACTTATACGAACTGTTTTTTGGAATGATTCAATATGCTTTTCTTAATGTTCACAGCTGAAGGTTACTCAGGAACCAAGAGCAAAGAAAGGACGACGTAACCAGAGTATGGAACTCAAGAAAGAAGTAAGTAACCTCAATTAACATGCTTGTAGAGATAGCAAAATACAAAAAGTCTGAAATTTTAATAGACACTCCTTCGGTTTCTGTCACCTTTTACTGATTTTACAGTGTTAATCTTGGAAGTTCCAGTCCCATAGCTTGGTCCTCCTTGCTAACAAACATAATCGCACGTCCCACATGCAACCCACTGGTGTCATTGTGGTAATATTCTGTATCATGAATAAATCAACAGTCAGCTTATGACTTTTTTTTTTTAAATGACAAATTCAGGCTAGTTAGTAAGTCTACAAACAGCAGAAATTAGAAAATATTTTGCACTATCAAGAATATTAAGTTTATAAAATGTCATCTCCACCCTTGTCCACGGAACTTCCTTCCTTGTTTATCCAGCTGGCACACTGAATGAAGCGGGGGAAGCAGAAACCTATGTTCATGTAACCAAGGGACTGTATTATTATGCTTGTACACAAGGGGGCAGTTGCTGAGACAGCCATAAATCTCATATTCCCTAACTTTCGTGTACTTTTTCCTGGCCTTGTTTCAGCTGCATATTGAACACTAAGAAAAAGTTGCACATATGCACTGTCCTCGGAAGAGGACTCAGGACTCCATTACAGAGGAGGTTTCAGGTATTTTTGCACCAGAATTACGTGGGATGGCCCTGGTGCCTGACATACAGACATCGCCACTCCTGATATCTGGGCACCTGCCTCCCTGTTGTATCTGATACCGCAGGTCGACCTCTGTGAGGCACATTCATTGATGGAGGCAGTGACACGCAGTTTGTCCTCCCTGGGGCACAAGCTATATTTGAGTGCAAGATAGGGAGACTACAGTTTAGGATGTCTCGTCATTTTTATTGTGTTTTCTGTCAAGCAAATGCTGTAATTTGCTTCATGTATTTATGTCTTAACATTTGTCTTCTTAGCTCTGCTCATATTTGGTCAGTGATCCAGAAGTCAATTGCAGTGACCTATTACAGAGTAATTGGCTGCAAAAGGGACACAGCCTTTTGATTGGTGTGAGCAGTGCTCCTTCACACGGACAAGCACAAAGTCCAGTCCTGAGTAAGTCTGGTGTTACAAGGACTGTGTGCTTTGTCTGTACGCTGTTAAATGAGCTTTAAAAAATCTAAGTGAAAAAAGAAAACAAAAAATGTTCATCTGTGTCTTCAGACACTTCAAATATCAATGAGAGCTTGCAGGGATATTACTTCTATCTCTTCTAAAGAGCAGGAACAATTGGTGTTACAGTGTAATAACACAGACTGCTAAATTCAGTACAGTACACTACAGTGACCATGATTTCTTTCTTGATAATTGTGTAATTACAGAAAGCTTCTGTGGTCATCCAAGTCTAGTTCTGTATTATTGGAAACAAGACTTAGACGCTCATTAGCCTTTCATCTTCAAAGCACCTTTGAAGTACTAATCAATCTTTGCAGCAGTTCTGTGAAATCAGTGGAATATTACAGACTCCACTGGAGCCAGAGTGAGCCCAGAGCTTGCCAAAATAGTTCAGGCACCTTGGCCACGCACCTACAGTCTCTTCAGGGAAAATGGTAGGGGGAAAAATCTATAGCAACACTTTAGTAATCCCAAGGGATCTGCAGTGATTCAGCATAGCCTCTGATGTTGGTGGTACTTTTTGGGAAGCGAGGCTGGTGAGTGTGGCGTACTGTTGCTCTACTGTGCTTCCTTCTGGAGGGCTCCCAGCTGAAGTCAGAAAAGCCTGACCAAAGAGCCTGCCCACCGTCATGCTGGTTTTCCTCAGGGCTCCCACATCCCATTAGCACCTAAGGTCTTCAGCGACACCTTTCACATTAACTGAACTGGCATTAGTCATGTAACACTTTTTGTCCAGGGAGAACTGAAAGTTAAGTTGTTCTATTTTGATATCTGGATTTACAAGTTTGTTCTTTCTCTGTAGGAGCCAGAACCTGAAACTGAAGCAGTAAGTTCAAGCCAGGAAATTCCCACAATGCCTCAGCCCATTGAAAAAGTTTCAGTCTCAACTCAGACCAAGAAGTTAAGTGCCTCTTCTCCAAAAATGCTGCATCGGAGCACCCAGACCAGTAATGATGGAGTATGTCAGAACATGTGCCATGACAAATACACCAAAATCTTTAATGATTTCAAGGACAGGATGAAAGCTGATCACAAAAGAGAAACCGAGAGAGTGGTGCGAGAGGCAGTGGAAAAGGTAACGCTTGTCAAACACCACATACACTCTGGTTTGAGGACAGGAGGAGTGTGGATTTTTTTCACATTCTTTTCTACTTTTGTAACATCCACCCTTAAGAAAATGAATAAAAAAACATTTCCAAAGAGACCACATAAAAATAGTCTTCATTATTGCTTTTTAGACCATTTCTGTACCAACAGGCCTTAATTTAAACAGAAAACTACTGCTTTTTTTGATTCTTGTCCAGTGAAAATCAGCTTGTGATCCAAAAATGAAACTAATTGTTCATTCATAGTATCCATTTCCAAAGCCTTTGTCTCCATTGTCAAGTGTGGTTGTAAACAATGGCATTGTTTAAATGCTATTCATAAATAACTCTTCTTCTGTCAATCTTCTGAACTAAACTTTAAATAGATTCACTGAAATTTGTTTGACTTTTCTTATTTAATGATAACCTCTTTTAAAATTCAATATCTAAACCTGAGCTAGTCACCTTTGGCTGGAGAGAGCAGGACAATTGAGAGGATGATTTGTCTGACCTCTCTTAAGTACCTGTCTTAAGATGAATTTCCTTCTGGATGAAGGACTATGGAATGAACCTAGGGAGTTTAGGTGTTAATCATGTAGGATTAAGACACCATGCTTTTAGATAACTGAGCAAGGGCAAAGGAATCCCACCGACAATGAATACTAAAAGGTACCTCTTACTGAACTCAGGGATGTTCTATTTTGTATTTTCCATTGTGCCCTTGCTGTAGATTTATATGCACTTGTAGATTTGGAAAAGACAAAATCTTTGTCTAAGATAAATTCATAAATTTGCAAACTGATCATTGACAAAATATACATGGAACCTATTTAGCTGTTTTTGTAGATGCCTAGCAGAATAGAAATATGGTGACATTTTTATTTTGAAGTTTCTTATGGGATGGAAATTCTGGTGTAACTCTAAAGGAGAGAACTTTTTGTTTTCTAAATAGGAGAATTCTCTAATTATGTAACCTCCACCCACATCAGTAATAGAGGTTGAAAGAGCAGAGGTTTAAAGAAGATACTTTTATTCCAGTAGCTGTCCATTGACTTGCTTTGCTGACTTTCTTATGGCAGCTGCGTACAGAGATGGAAGAAGAGAAAAGGCAGGCTGTAAATAAAGCTGTGGCCAACGCACAAGGAGAGATGGACAGAAAATGTAAGCAGGTAAAGGAGAAGTGCAAAGAGGAATTTTTAGAAGAAATTAAGAAGCTAGCAGGCCAGCACAAGCAACTGATTTCCCAGACCAAGAAGAAGCAGTGGGTAAGTGTAAAAAATTTATTACAAGAGAATAAGTGGAAACATATAATGCATACTGCAGGCCTTCATATTACTGCTTTCAAATTTTCTTAACCACCAAATTTCAACTCAGAGTTCTGATTACTTTCCATCTTAATTATGTAGTGTTAACAGCACCATCTTCTTCAGTCCAATCAGACATTAGTATCAAAATATTTTTTTCCAGATGCAGTTTTACTCCATATAAGACATGTTTTGCATTATGTTCACACTCCTTTGATCTCAAGGCCCCAGAGGGTACAATATCTGGCTGCATCAATTTGGATTCCCCTGCTAATAATGCTGGCGGTGATATCCTTTTGGCCTTTTCCTCTCCTAGCTTTTTCTGCAGCTCTTCTATGTTCTTTTGTATTTAAGACATGACTTTCTGAAATATATTTCCCTCCCTCATTCAGTTCTTAAGCCCAAATCTGCAGCATTGCCTACAAAAAACATGTTTGTGTGCCCTTCAGAAAAGTGAAAACGGACATCTAACTTACCGTTCTGTTACATGCTGCAAACTTTACCCTGTTTTTGTTTGGTTTGTGTCTCGTGTTTTCTTTTCAAGCCGTAAGTGTGTTCTCCCACATGGCTGTACAGCATCTACTCAAACATTGCAAGTACTATAACAGTGTGCTGCTAGCCTGTAACAGAGTACGGGTGGAAACTGTTACGCTGAGGAGCAGTGAGCCTGGCACACATACAAACTTTGCTATTTCTTTGCTAATTTTCATAGAACATGGAAATGAAAGCCGTTGTTCAGGACATCACACTGCGCTGTAATAGCTATCTATAACATACGGCAGGGTGGGTACAAGATTTTCTACTCGCCTCCTTTTGAGCTTTGATTTTTGCCGGATGCGGCTGAGAAGCGCGGGTGCCTTGCCACAAGATGGCACGCTGGCCTGAGCCGCTGTGGACGGCCGCCAGCCCACTGCCACTGCCGCCTGGGCACAGCCAGCCCTGGCTCCGTCCCGCAGCTCCTGTTTGTCTTCCACTGTAAAGAGCTGTTTGTTTGTGTTCAGCCTCATTAGTCCTTGTTCTTACAGATGAAACGATGGTCCCTGCAGAGAAAGCTCTGCTCTGTAGAAGAGTGAAATAAATACTAAGGCGAGACAATCGGTTGCTGGCTATCACAGTTACGAGTTTGGTTTTTTGTAAAGAGAAGAATTACTTCAAATGCCAGAGCTCCTGTAGGGTCTTCATTCCTGCTCCTTGTGGAGATTTTACTGTGGGTGTTACGATCCTGCAGTGCTTGGGTATCTGTCAGTTAGAAAATTCCTCCCGGTCGACCTGTCTCTGCAGACCAGAGAAGTTATTTAGGTCTCCGACTTGATCAAGTTACTGTGTTTAATGAGTCACCAGCTGCTGGTGTCTGCATGCATGCTTTTGCCTGTGGCACTTGAGAGGAAAATTGAATTGCCTTTGCCCACTATAGAACTATGTCAAATTAGCTGTCTTCTGTCAAACGTTAAGAGTGCACATGTGAACCGTTGCCACCATTCAGCTGATATGCAGTAACTCAATCACAGTAACTTGATTGTGAGTCTGAACTCTTAGCTGTAGCTGCTTTTTGGTGTTTTTGAAGGCAGAATTTATGAAAGAGACTCCCGAGACTTACTTTCATCTGCTCTGATGTGCCTTTACCATATCCTTTAGCCTAATCAGAGAGTGCCCTGGTACCACATTACTGCATCTTATGATCATCTGCATAAAGTCTCTTTCCAAGCAAGACAAATAAAGGTATAAAGAGTATTTGACAGTCTTGCCTATTTCTGTGGCCCCAGAACTACCTGTCAATCACCACCTTAAATGAAGGCATCATACAGGCAGCTGGTTTGCATGAGGTAGGAGAGGGAGGGTAAGGATAAACACCTTTGCATTCAAGCTGATGGATCTGCCTGCCAACACACAGCCTCAGGCTGCTGGAGTTGGTCCAATTACGTAACTCCCCAGTGATTTTTCCTTCAGTGGTACTAATGACAGTCCCTGGTGTGTAGTACCGCTCTTGTATGCTGCTATTATAATGATACCTCCTTACCAAAATCTCATGTAATTAACACACATGCTAAATGAGTTTTAGTGGCTTTGCTTTTTAATTAGAAGCAGAGACCTCTGGTTTTGCGTAATGCAGATGTCTAAGGCTTGGGAATACAGCTGCTATTATTCACGCTATATTTGTCATCTTCTCGTAACTAAAAAAAAAAAAAATCCAGTCAGGATGAAGGGATCATTTTGCTGGTGGTGTATAGGCACATGAGAAGATGCGCTCCCAGCCCTCAGGAGCCTAACGCATAGTTAAAGAACAACATTTTCTGTTGTTCTAACTGGTCACAGTCCCCTTGGCTTAACCCAATTTCATTTTATACTTCCAGTAAAGTAAATAGCAAACAAAAGGAAGAAATGTAAAGGCAGGGATAATGATCACGAGATTATACAGTTTGATGGCCTCCAGAATACAGGCTAGAGTGCTGGTCTTGACAATGTTTCTTTTTTAAATTCTCCCAGTTCTTTTATTTGCATATAAGCCTCATTTAAATTAGCACATAGCTCATTTTTATAGATAATTTTTAACTTCTGTCTCTTTCAGTTATATTATTCTATATATATTCTAACTTGCAACAGGTTGGTTTTAAGTGAATGAGCATTGTCCATGATGTGTACTCTCTGAAACAAAACCCCAAGTGATTGATAACATTTAGAAAGAGGAAAATACAAAGGAAAGAGGAGGCCTGAGGCCAGCTGGCATTTTGCCTTCTCTGCCACGTGTGCTGGTACCAGCTTAGATGACACTATTTTCCTTTGGTAAGTGGAGATTTACATCCCACACTTGTGGCCAGCAGATGTAAAGGGAAGTGCAGGACCCACAGATCAGTTGTCCTCTCCTGTCTTAGCTTTTTTTGATCTCTCCAAGCAAGCAGATGTGAAGCTGGTCTCTGGGCTGAGGCCCATGCTCTACGTAATGGAGAGGCACAGCTGTTCCCTGCACCTTTCCAGCGGATGATCCTAATGGTTCCCGCAGGCTTGTGGGCAGCCAGCAACATGAAAAACCAGGAAAACAGCTCTTGAGAGGACACTTGTTTGTAGACATTTCTAAAGATAAATTTCCCTGGAGCTAAGTTATAAAAGGAAAATGGAGAGGTTCCCTTCTCATGCAGCTAGGGCAGTCCCTTTACTGCTGATGTAAATAAATAGTTACTGGTTTAGCCAATGTAAATGTCGGTTTTCTTGGATCTGTCTTTTAGTAGTGTGTAGGGTTGTTGTGTTTTTGTTTTGTTTTAAGGCAGTTGGGTTTGTTTTCTTTGTAATTCTCTGTTTTATTAACAATGCTGTAGCTAGACAGGACATAAAAAGTAAATTGTTGTGTTATTCTCTGGTTTGATAGCAGCCTGCACAGACTGTGTGATACCCCTCCCACTGTTCCCCATCATGCAATAAGCATTTCAGACTGGATTCGTAAAAGATACTCTCTGATTTTGAGCAGATCAAATCCAGAAAGACAAATCTGAGATCATTAGAATCTGGCTTTCAAAGGTGCTGAGTGTAAGTGGTTCCTTTAGCAGCAGTGCCACCCTCCTTTACAGGATTTTGTCGGAATGATAGTTAATGCTTTTGCAGCACTCCCTGAAGGGGTATAAAACCATCTGGAGACAGGGCATACTGCCCACCTGGGTGCCGTACCTCCTTGTTGACCGCCCGTAGTGTTGACCAGCACGTTGATCCCCTTTTTTTAGTTCCTGAGAGGCCACGGGGTTATTTTCCAGGTAGCTCTTCCAGCTACAAGGAAACTGGAGGCATTCTGTGTGTTCCAGGGTAGAAATCCTCTTTGCTGCAGCACTCCCCAGAACCAAGTATTTCTGCAGAAATCACGGGCTGTGCAGCATCTCTTTCAGGAGTTCTGTGCCGTCCTGGCAGGCATGACAAGGGGCAAGAGCCCATGTACGACAGGCCTTCTCTGGTGCCTGGAAGGATTGAAAGAAAAGGCAGTTTCTTGCTCTTCTCAGTAGCACTGATGTAGCACGAGGTTTTCTTTTCATGAGATTGCAGCGCTGTCTGGCAGTCAGCAAACCCCAACAACAATATCCTCCCTGCACACCTACCCTAAATGCGCTATAACAAACCAGTTGGTAACGAATCATTCTTTTCTCCGGTTATTGTTGTAACTTCTGAGATTTTCCTAGCCCCAAAGCACGTTCCCCAGCAACCTCTGGACAGGTCAGGCTTGTAAAGAAACCTCAGAAACGCCGGTCTTCAAGCTTGCGCAGAACCTGTTCACTCCAGAAGTGCCTGTTGATTTATCGTAGCTTTTAAGACACAGATCAGGGTGCTATTATACAAATGTAAGGTAAAAGATGGTTCCTGCGCTGTGTGGCTGAAAAATGTCAGTCCACTGCCCTGAGAGATGAGTTTTCTTAAATGAGAGATGATTTTTTCAAAAGCAATAACCCAGACTCTGGAAGATATGAAAGCATTGTGCAGATTTGCTAAAGATCGCTGCTTTACTCAGCACGTGTGAAAAATGCCCTCCTGCCTCTGGACGCCCCAGGCATAAATAAAAGAGAAGTATTGCTCTGCATGCGCTGGTGCATCCACGAGCAGGTGAGAACGCTTGCGCGCTGGTAAGGAGGGATGCTGCGAGGGTGGTAATCTCGTCTCGTTTGTTCTCTCCAGTGCTACAACTGTGAAGAGGAGGCCATGTACCACTGCTGCTGGAACACTTCCTACTGCTCCATCAAGTGTCAGCAGGAGCACTGGCATGCTGAACACAAACGTACCTGCCGCAGAAAAAGATGAAAGAGTTATTCCTCCCCTAGCAAACCACCCCGATGATTGCTATTCTCAGACACAGCGGTTTTTGTTTCCAAGAAGCCAAAATTGTTTAGAATTTGCTTCCCATTTTGCACCAGCCTTTAAACACTTTTCGTAAAAGAAATTTTGCACAGTGATTTCAATCTTCTGTTTAATGCTCCTCCAAAATTTTGTCGGCGAAATGAATTTAACATCTGTGGGAGCAGGTTACTTTAAATAATTTTAAACTAGAGGATTTATTGCATTTTCAGCAAATTTTAAAACATTTTTAGGTTTTACAGAGATTTTAATCTTTAAAACCAGCAGATCTAAAAAGAAAAAAATCATGCAAGTTTAACAAAAGGAACATTTAGGAACTAGATCTGAATGTAAGAAGTACAGAACTGTTTCAGAAAAACGAAGCATACTACCTTGATGTAACATTTATTTCTTAACCTTGTTGAGCTGGTTTTGTTCAGCTTAGTTTTACTGTTTAAAGGCATTATCTATTGGTTATACCAGTGGGTACATAATTGAATTTAGGGAACAGGGTTGACACAGCAGGTGCTAGTCCTGCGTATTTTTTCTTAAATATTTCCCAACTGTGTTTTATTTTCATTATTTCTTTTCAATATATAACTTTTATAACAAAATATTAGCTTTGATCTTGTAGTTTAAAATCACAGGGAACTGGGGTAATCTTTTACTGAGCTGGATCTTAGAGAAAAATGAATATTTAAATTTTGAAGTTTGCACATTTCATCTTTGTCCTAGCATGAGTGCTTGTAACAAGAATAAGAAAAGCCAAAAAGCAAAAAAAACTACTACCTTTATTCATACGGAATTACGAGGCATACAAATTTCTTTACTGCGCCCCGCTTCAGCCTCCCCAATCCAACGACATTTGACTGCCTATGATCTGGCGTCACGTGGTCCATTGTAACTTGATAATAAAAGGAGAAAAAGCACTTAAGTTTCACAGAAGCCGTTATGTTTGAGGTAATGGCTCATTGCCTAATAATGAGCTCCATCACTGTACTCAGAATGAAGAATAATGCATGTTAATTTTCTTGTATTAAAGATGCCGTGATTTGTAAAAAGTCTGTATTTTGCGGAATGTCTGGATTAAGAAGCATTACCAATAGGAATGGATCGATAGTTGAAAAATGATTTTTCCTTTTGTTTGTTTTATATATAGATATATGAATTGCATCCATGTTCAGAGACAATTTTTTAAATAGATGTAAAGCTTACTTAAATAGCTTTTCTTTTAAAGTGTCTCCGCATTTTAGTTTCTTTCAAAGATTGGTCTTAGACTGAGTCATATGCCCATTAATCATCCAGCTATTTTTTGAGAAGTTAGAGGAATAATTTGTAAATATTTATTTAGATCTTTGATATTTATTGAAAGCAATTACATGATGGAACGATGGAAGCTGAAGAATCAGGAGGAAAGCCTTTAAAAAAGTTTTCTCTAGGATTTGTCAGGGTCATTGTAAAGATGAAAATATAACTAAGACTTCTGTGAACTACCATTGAAATCCTGATCTTTTTTACTTACAATGGTGATATAAGTTAATTGACTAGATACTGCCAAATAATGCCCAGTATGTTGCAGAAATTAAGTGGTAAGTTGATTGGAAAAAATAGTAACTAGATGGTAACTTGTATTACCACAGCTACATTATTGCCTGATAAATGTGTAATTAACTTTTGTCGCCTCTGTGTTGTGACTGTAAAACACTTCACAACTAAAAATCAATCTTGTTCGATTACTTTACAAGTTCCAAAACTTCGATCCACCCCTATGAAAGCAAGTTATTGTGGAAATATTTTTGGTGTAAAATCATTCCAGAATATGTAATATTTAACTGATAGCTGCATGAAAGTAAGATTCGTGTTACTTTGGCTTTTTTGTCTCTGTTGACACGGTTGCACATTTCCAAGTTACTACAGTGTGAAAACTGTGTGTTTTAAAGAAAAAAAAAAAAAAAAAAAACAAAACAAAAAAAAAAAGATTGTGGCCTGGTTTTGTATAAGTTTTAGGTAAAATTACAATTGATTGTTTTAGGAATCATGATTTAAAATTAATTTTTCTGCAAATCATAAAGCTATATTAAAGTGTTGAGCTTAGCCACTATGCACATTGTAATTATTCATTGTGGCTGTCCAGTTTATGATGCATTCTGGCATTTTGTAAGCTGCTCTGACTAGCAATATATAGAGTCATTTAATGTGTTAACATTGGTTAATAAATGTATTTAAAAAAAAAACAAACCCTCGCTAAAGTGCCTGTTGATTTGGGCCGGTTATCCTCACGTCCTCGGGTGGGCACACGCGAGGCTGCTGTTTTCACTTGTCCTCACCTGGGAAAACCGGGGCTGCGGCGGGGGAGCTGTGCCTGAGCTGGCGGGGACCCCGCTCCTCATGCAGCTGAGCCGGCAGCTCCGCGCTTGAGCGCTTAACCTGGCTCTCAGCACCACGAGAGAATCTTCCGGGCCCCTTCAGGGCCAGCGGCCTCCGAGGGCTGCGTCCGTCACGTTCCGCTCCTAATGCCGGGCCCTGCGCTGCCGGTAGCCCGGGGGGCTGGCAGAGCCCCTCGTGCCTCTGCTGCCTTCGCCCGTGGCCCCGTGGCCTGGTTTCGGCTGGGATAGAGTTAATTTTCTTCCT